CCCCAAAACCCCAAAACCCCAAAACCCCAAGAGACAAGATTATTAAAGAAACCTAATATCCTTAAATAATTAATATATTTACACCAGTTCTCATAAATATTATCATTTTTATTAACTCGGTTGAGATTACTAATTACTCGATTATTTGATGTTATTGCTTGTTGGAACGAAATCAGGTCTTCTCCTGGGCATTCGCCATACGAATTAATTATCTTTCTCGAGGTGATAGCAAAAATACAATCTTAAATTGTTTCTGAAACCTATGTTAAAAGGACTCCCTAGTTTTTTTGGCCAGACTTTTAAATAGCTGATCTTCTGCCAACTTAAACACTCCCCTATAATGTTTTATATAATATTTAAGCTTACATGTTGTTGTATTTGTAGATGAAAGATAAGAATGGAATATCAAGAGATATATTATAAATGCGATAAATCCGCCACAAAGTATCATTGTAATTATTCCTAGAGCTTAGTTTATATCCATTTCATAAAGATTGAAAGAAATTATAAAAGCTGCTATAAGTTGAAATAATTAGGACCACAGATATAAATAGAAATATTTTCTGTTTCTTTCCCCAATGCAATTACCTAGCCAAGGGCAGTGATGATCATAAGTAGAAATGCATCTATTGCATTTTCTGCAATGCTTAGACCTTAGTGGCTACTCTATATTGCACACTGTGCAATATCTGAGTTCAATGTGAATTCTCCCAGTCTCAGTTTGACTGCCATTTTATTAAGACATTTTTTCGATTGTGTTTATTCATCGATCTGATCTGGAATACATATTTTATTGTTACTCACGCATTTATTTAGTATTAAGTACTGTTACTATTTAATTTTCATCATTAAAATAATAGTCTTCCTCTTCGTGATAAGCTATAAATGATGACTTTGGATTTATTTTACTGAAAAGTGAAGGCATGGGCTTAGGAGATAATCTTCTTAAGCCTTTTTTATGCTCTTGATGATTAGTGCTAACTTCTAAATCCCTTTGCTCACTTTTTAAGGCACCAAACTTAATTGATTGTTTCTGAGAACTAGATCTACTTTTGAAAGAGTCTTTGAAATTATCTTTTTTTTTATTCAAAGTAATGTCATTTATATCCAGGGCAAAATCATCTCCAGTTTATTGAGGAATATTGCCATTTCTAAATGAGTTATTAGTCTCTATATTCTTGGCTGTAATTGTGGACTATTATAAATTGTGCATAGTATCCATAGCTTGATAGTTTTAAGACTCATTAAGCACCTTAATCGGTAGATGATTCAGATAGTAGTTATTTTACACGTTATTGCTATTATTGATTTTTTTTAATTATACCTTTTAAAACTATGGTTTTGTGACCGATTTATTGTTAGATGAAATAGTCTAAGACGACCTGCCCATATTTAGAACTAATTTTGCCTTTGGTGCATTCTATATTTTTTTGTCCAGATCTGGAATATCTGTCTCAAGTCAGGTACCCTTATCTCCGCTGCTTTTAGGATAAACACAGTCCTCTTCTGTTAGCATTTTAATTCCTCTCATTGAGAATTTGTTAGAAGCTACTGGCTTTTTTCTAGTGCTTTCATACTATATCATATGGAAATTCCTGATTCAAAGTTTTTCTTTAGTCTCAGCTTAGCCTTCTATTTCATCTTAGCTATGAGGTAGTTCTCTATCTTCAACAAAAGAGTTAGGACTAGTGCCACTTTTAACTGATGATTTTTATTTTTCAATGCTCTTTTAGAGAATATCGTTTTGCATTGATGAAATAATGAAATTTAAAATAATTATAGAATTAGTTTTTAGAAATACACGATAATTCATTATGTTTTAATATTGGTTTGATTTAACATTTGGGGTTTTGGGGTTTTGGGGGTTTTGGGG